CCCCAAGCGTGAATGAATGAATGGCGCGTTCTGGTCCCCCACGATTCTCATGGGTATGGGTTAATGATGATGGTGGTGATGATGATGATGGTGGTGGTCCGAAACCCCAGAGGAGCCATCGCAGGAAAAGATCCAGGAGTATTGAGGATGATGAGGAGGGGCACCTGATCTATCACAGTGGATACATGCTGAGAGCAAGATGTATAGAATACACACTTTTCTGTATCTCTTCTGTATCTTTTCATTTCTTTCAATGCTTATTTTCTGTTGTGGGGTCAGACTAATTTTACACGCTAATTTTGGGGTCCTGATAAATGCAGTTGTGACAGAACACTTAGACTTATCCAGATGTGTGTATCACCAGTCTAGTATTGTCTTATGTTTGTCGATTATTTATGCATTGCTTTTCTAATTTGAGTGTTCCAAAACACAGCGCAATCTTTTGAAAGGGTTTGATGGACCATTGTGTCAATTTCATGTTTCTAACTGTCTTTCTTTAACTCCGTAGATGAGATTGTGTGCACACTTGGAGAGGGAGCCTTTGGTAAAGTGGTGGAGTGCATTGATCATGAAAAGTAAGTCTTCATGTCACGTTTTACTATGCTAAAATTAGTGGTCGACCGATATATCACCAAGGCCGATATATCAGCCGATATTTGGCATTTTTCAGATATCGCATTGGCCGATAAGTTTTTCTGTTTGGCCGATGCGTTCGAGGCAGGACTTTTATTTTGACTTTTATTCAGAGCGGCAGTGCCTGCGCGCACAGTGCTCACATTCTCCCTCTTGTTCGCCGTTGTCCTTAACAGTTCTGTCTAATACGGATAGAAGTCTGTCTAATAATAGAAGAACTGTTAAACAAAGGAATTAAAATGTATACAAATAGTATTATAACGATTGCTTTTATATTATTAGTAATAGAAAGGCAAACATTATAATACTTTCTCGTTTGCTGTCAGCATTCAGCAAATACGCATTTACATCATTAAAACAAATCTTTGAATGGCTAATGAAAATTTAATTTCACAAACCTTGCAAACTTAGTCGAATCCGGTTGTGAGATCTTGTGAAGTGTGCATGTGACCTGCATGATAGCGTGTTCTCTGTGTGACTTTCGGTCCGTGCAAATTGAATGCTTTAAACATTAAATTCGTGATTTCAAATTATGCTACGCTTTAGTGTTACTTATTTGAAAAAATATGATTCCCAATACACACAAACTTCCCAGAATACTGAGTGCTCTGTGCTCTGTTGTTTACTTACTTTTTAATTAAATATTTATTTATGAGAAATACTTTGTCATCTAAAGTAGAAGTATGTTTTTTACACACATTTATTTTTAATCCATTTTCAAATTATTTCAAATTTCTTAAATATTAATTAAAATAAATACAATTATATCGGCTTTATATCGGCCATCGGCCACCCTGCTTTCCAAGATATCGGCTGTCAAAAAACCAATATCGGTCGACCACTA